AAGATTATTGAACTATGTATTGCGGCATGGATTCCAGTTCTGAAGATGCTCATTGTGACCGGCGTTGGATCATTTATATCTCTTCCTTCCATTGGTCTCTTAACTGAAGAAGCCAGAAAAACCATGAACGCTGTATGACTTTAATTGCCTTTCTTCTTTCACATTTTAACAATAATTATTTTATGCAACATTTGTTATTTTAATTAATTGATTGCCATTTGTCAAAATATGGTGATTTTAATATTAATTAGAAAACAATTACGCTGCATGATTTTAATTAATCTTATTTTTATATAAAATATATCAAAATATTTAAATACTTTTTTTTATATTAAATAAACAAGTTTAGCATGTGTATTTTTTAACGGGATATTTTTATAAAATGTATAATGATATATGTTGAGAAATTAGGGCAAAAAAAACAAGATCCACACAAATACAGAAGAACACAGAGATTTAACGAGGTTCGGCAAAGATGCCTACATCATCGGGAGCAGAGCGACGACCTCCTTTTCAATATTTAGAAAATAGTATATAATACAAGATTCAACTCTCTCAAAGACCTAGGATTACAAACAGGTTTATTTATAATCTTAGAGTAAATCCTACAGTACAATATGCAATTCCCAAATTACCCCTGTGCCGTATAGCCCCAACCCACATAACGTAACTTCCCGATTTGGACAGATTCTTCCGCTCCACTTCATTCCAGCGTCTGTCCCTATATGGTATATGAGTCATACCATAACAAATCTCCACCTTGGCGAATATCCAGCCCCTTAGGAGAAAATATACCTGAGAGTTACACCTGCACCAATATGGGTTGGGCCATCATGTTTCTGCTGCGCCCTCGCTGATCTTAACCCACTAAATTCCAAGAGACACACCCCTTTAATTCCAAGAGACGTCTCTTCATTTCAAGAGACTCCAAATCCCCACCTTTAGGAGAAAATCTCCACCTTGCGAATATCCAATCCCTTCGGAGAAAAATCTCCACCTTGCGAACATCCTGCCCCTTAGGAGAAAATCTCCACCTTGCGAATATCCAACCCCT